ATACCCACCCCACAGTGCCAAAATGGCAGAAGTAGAACTCAAATGCAGGACGTCTCCTCTAAATCCAATTATCTTTTGTTTTTATCAGAGATTCCCAAGACAGAGAAGGGGGAGTTGCCCTTCCCCCTCCCTATCCCACCTTCAAGTTCCTCCCTCTCCAATATACTAGCATTTTCAGGAAGGGGATATCTACAATTTTTAAAAGCATATTCGATATTAATATGCATCATTACAATTTGATAAAGGCAGAATCCCACTGGTTTTATTATATAGACTTAGGGAACTTCCTGGTACCAAGAAGCCCCTCTCCAGGCTTTGGTTACCTGCTGGATGTCTAAGTGATGCTGTAAGGAGATGTGCTGTGTCAAACAGGAGCAGAGGCAGACGTATTAGAGGAGCTTGGAAGAGCCAAGAATCCCCGTGGGATGGGGCTGACTGGTAGCCTCCTTGGAGAGAGGCAGACAATTAAGAACAGACTCAAACAAGAGGGTAAGGAGGGTGTAGATGGCAGGGGCGGGGCTGTGGAATGGGAGATGGGGGAATAGACTTGAACTGACAGTTCACCAAAGGAAAGGTACAAATGGCCAATAAACACATGAAAAGATGCTCCACGTCATTAGTCTTCAGGAAAATGCAAATTAAAATCCCAATGAGAGAGTCCTTCAGACCTGGAGAATGGCTAAAATTAAACAGCCAGGCAACACTGAGCGTTGGCAAGGGGATGCGGAGTAACCGACCTCCGTTTCATTGCTGACGAGAGTGAAAAGTTGTACAAACTCCTTGGAAAACAGTTCGGCACTTCCTTGTGAGGCAAATATGCGCTTACCCTATGACACAGCGATTCAGCTCCCAGGTATTCACTCAGGAGGAATGAAATACGTGACCATGTTAAGATGTTGGGGGAGGGTATAGCTCAAGTGGTAAACCTAATTACCTTCCCCCTCCAGAAAGGAAGGATGATGTGAACCTGGACAGTCGTTGCAGCGTCATTCATCACAGCCAAAGCAGAGGCAGCCTAAATGTCCACCAACAGAAGACTGGATACACCAACTAGGATGCAGTCAGACAGCCTACCTCATAACAAGGAGGAGACGGTCCAGTAACACTGGATGCACTGATAGATGTAATCTCTCAGAAATTATGAGGAGGGTAAGAAGATACAATTACTTACTGTATGATCCCATTTATAAGAAGTCCAAGAATGGGCAGAACCAATACCTAGTGATAGAAATCAAGTCAGTCTTTGCCTGGGGAGGAGTGGGTGGGGGATACTAATTGCAAAGGGACATGAGGAAACCGTCTGGGATGATGAAAATGCTCTGTATCTTGATTGTGGTGGTGTTTACACGGGTTCATACATCTGTCAAAAGTCACTGACCTGCACACTCAAAATGGGTGCGTCTTATTATAGTTCATTAGACGTCAATAAAGTCGAATAAGGAAAAACAAGACAACAAAGCAGGTCTTCCTTTAAAATGGCAAGAGCTTTACTAAAGCTGGACACATGGCTTTCTGAGGTATGTGCTCAACAGAAACATGAAGAAACATACACAAACATTCACAGAAACATTACCCAAAATAGGCAAAAATTGGGGACAACTCAAATGTCCCCCAGCAGGAGAATGATAAATAAAATGTAATGTACACATGCCGTGGAGTACCATTCAGCCCATACCTGATGTTGAACAAGAGAGACCAAACACAGCAGAGCCCAGCCTCAATCTTATTCCGTTCATACAAGTTCAAAAACAGGCTTAGGGCAGCCGTTACCGCCTAAAGGGTAGTAACCAGGGCACACAAGGGATTTCTGGAGGCTGGTAAATACTTTGTTTCTTGATAGGATGTTAATTATCCTTGACTGTGTTCAGTTTGTAAAAATTCATCCTGCTACCTTGTTATGATGTGTACATTTTTCTGGATGTATACTCTATTTTAATGAAAACATTTGCTTTATTTTAGAAAACAAACTTACGGTTACCAAAGGAGAGAGGAGGTAGGGGGAGGGATAAATTTGGAGTATGGGATTAACAGATACAAACTACTACACATAAAATAGATAAGCAACAAGGAGTTACTGTAGAGCACATGGAACTAGATTCAATATCTTATAATAACCTATAATGGAAAATAATCTGACATACATACATATGCATATACATGTATCACTGAATCACTTTGCTGTATACTTGAAACTAGCACAATATTGTAAATCAACAATACTTCCAATATTTTTATTTTGTTTTTAAAATTGGGAAATAATTGAGTTTTTTTTCAGAGGCATAAATCAGAAGGTAGATGTCATCCATAAATCCAGCACAGTAAGTAAAGTGCAGGAGAGCAGGGTGAGGCTGGCGTCTGGGCTCCCTTGGCCTTGGGGGTTAGCAACTGAGTGTGTGGGAGTGGCAGCGTGGCTGATGTACCAAACTCTTCTCCTTTTCTCTCTGTCAGCCCATTCTGAGCTCTCAGACCCCGTCCTCTGCCTCCCAGCTCCCAGCAAAGGTGAGAATAAATTGTGAGAACGGAGCCTAGGGTGAAAGGCTCTGGGTGGTTGGCCAGGCAGGCCTGCCCCCATCAAGGCTCTCTGCTTGGCTTCTCACAACAGGTGCTGGGGGCAGGTCTGGGCAGGCTCTTTGTCCTCTGCCTACAATGGGCTGCAGGCCCGCTGCTAAGGCAGAGACAGCCAGGGCTAGGGGCTGTCTCCAGCCTCCCAGCCACCTCCTCTAAACCTGCCTCTGCCACTGCTTAACCCCTCTCCTGTCTGCACAAGACTCAGCATATGTGCAGAGCACAGCTTTGGAATCTGGCATGCTAGCTGTGTGACCTTGGGTAAGTTACTCAACTTCTCTGAGCCTTAGTAGCTTCATACACACTAAAAATGGAGTGAGATAAACATCAATAGGAATTTTAATATTTTCTCCCTGTACCCCCCAAAGATTGTGTGCACACCCCTCTTTGGAGACGATTAGCCCATGACCAAAAGTCTAAATTGCTCAACTCGGCCTTGGAGGGCCTCCAAGTTCTACCTCCATCTCTGACTACTCTCCTGCTTGGGCCAGAGTGACTGCTCCCTGATCTTTGACCCCTGGATAAGTATCATGCTTTCTCACTTCTCTACTCTCATCCCTCATCCAAGGCCCACCCATCCTCTGGGGCTCTGGTCACTTCAGCCACCCCTGTAAAGCTTTTCCAAAGCATATATTCTACTCATTCAACCAATTTTCCTGAGCATGTGCTGTATGTCGGGTGCTCCAGCTCTGTGTCTCTCCCTTCCTCTGACCTCCTCATCTCCCAGCTTGCATTAGACATCAGCCGTTGTGTACTGCCCGGCAGCGGTCCCTCTCTCACACTGTGATCTGGCCATAGGGTTCAATGTGCTTTATGTCATTTGCCTGTATTAACCAGGAGACGTTAACACTCGCAGCTGTGACAAATAAGCCCAAAATCTCAGCGACTAAACAAAACACAGGTTTATTTCTTGCTCACATCATGGTCCACTATGGGTCAGGTAGGGACTTGGGGGTTCAGGCCCCTTCCGTCCTGTGACGCCTCCATCTCCAACACAGGCCACTGTGATTGCCTTGGGACTGGAAGGGACACACAGAAAGGTAGTGTTAGCTCCAGCTCTGAAAGTGGCTTGTGTCACTTCCAACTGCATCCCCTGGGCCAGAACCCAGGCAGATAGCCCCAACCTAACCTCAGGGAGATTTCAGATTGTAGCCTTCCCGTATGCCCAGAAGAGGAAGTAGTATTAATGACCATGCAGCCAGTTTTTGTCCCATCACCGACTGCACAGGGAGCTTCCTGAGGGCACTATCCCTGCACACACCTTCGTTATCTTTCCTTGAACCTCCTCTATAATATCCAAACTACCCAGCCCCCCAACACAGACTCACACCCGTCAGGCCCAGTGCCGTGTCCTGTAGCACTGCTGGATATGTACTAGCTGATGGGCAGACTTGTGAGTCAAAACAGGCTGCCTGAAGGAGAAGGCAATGGGGCTTGTTGGAGAGACAGGTCCTTCTTGTTCTTTGAACAACACTGCTTCCCTGGGCCTTACACAGGGCATGGCATGTAGTAGGTGTTCAGTAAACATTTGCTATGTAAATGATTAGATGGAGCCTTGGGAAGATTATGGAAACTGACTCAAGAGAAAAGAAGGAAGAGAGAAAAGGTTTAAAACAAATGAAATGGTAGAGAAGATTCCAATCCAGACCTGAGACAGGTGAGCCCCCATCCCAGCCCCCACCGGGCTGGGCGCCCATGGGCCCACCCAGGCATTAGTAGCATGGGAATTGGGGTGTCAGGTGATGCTGGATTTGGCCTTCCTGGGACCTCCAGAGTTCCCCACCCTGGGGCGGCGATGATTCCTCCCTTCTGCGATTCAGATCTTTATTTGCTGGGGTTCAGTGGGGTTAATTATTGTTGTGGTTTGTGTAGGGCGGGAAGGAGCCCTGCCCTGGCCCCAGGACCTGAAGGGGGATCCTGAGAGTCAGGGATGGGTTTGGAGACCTGGAGGGTTGGTATGGGAGGCTGGGGGGCACAGGGTGGATTAGAAAGGCACCTCCTGCCAGCAAGGTAGCCATTTCTACACTCGAAGCCCAGGTGACTGAGTCTTTAACCCTTTTTTGTCTTCCACCCATTCATGCCACCCGCCAAGTCATCAAAGCCCAGTGAGGCTCAGCTCCGGGAGGCAAGTGGCATTATTCACAGGGGTGGGGCTGAGTGAGCTAGGTGAGAAGTGGCCTGGCCTCTGGCTCAGATCTTGGTCAGCTGAGAGTGGGACTAGCACCCCAAGCTCCCCTGGCTCCAGCAGCACAGGGCCACACGGACGGGGTCTCTCAGCATCAGCCTCGCATCCAAGGACCCTTTCGCAGCTGGCCACAGCTCCTTGCAGCCTCCACCCCACCTTCCAGGCTGCTACCCATTCTGCAGGGACAACGCCAGGTTGGTGATGGCCCAGAGGCAGGTCAGGGAGTGAGAGGGGTGAAGGAAAAGGGGCTGACCTTGACCTGGTGGGGACACTACTGAAGCTTCAAGGGCCATTAGTCTGTCCCCACCTTACAGGAAACAGAGGCCCAGGCTACCTGTCCAAGTTCCTCAGCAACTTAGGTCCTTGAAAACCCAAAGCTGGAGATCCTAGCAACCCGGACTCCTGCCTCGCGCGATTTTTCCAAGGGTCACCTGGACCCTCCTCCTGCGTCAGGTCAACACCACGGTCCAGTGTGTGTGAGTGACTCTGAGGTATGCAGTAGCCCCAAGGGTGTGAGTTGGGCCTGGGGGTGGGGGGCCAGTGTCAGGACTGGAAGGCGAGTGAGGGCTGTGGTGCTTGCACGGTGTGGAGACAGCTGAGAACAGTGTCTGGAGCGGGGCTCTGGACACAAACACACTCAGGTTCCAGTCCTTGCTGTGTGACCTTAGGTAAGTCACTTGGCTTCTCTGAGCCTCAGTTTTCTGAGAGAGTGATTGCGAGTGGATGAGGGTGATGCTATGTACTTTACCAGGTATGTAATAAAAGGGAAAATGCTCACAGTAGATACATGATCACTAATGCCATTCCTTGCACTATTATAATTATCACATTATTGTTATATTGGCTATTGGTATGATTTGAATCTCACATATATTGGTATCGGTAATGATGCTAATAAATCGTTTCCATTTCCAGTAAGAAAAGGGCCTGAATATGCTCAGTCCTTCTATATCCCTCTCCTCCTTTCCCATGTTTTCTGTGTGTGCATCTGTGTGTGCGCGCGCGCGTGTGTTTGTGTGTAGAGGGCTGGGGTTCGGGAGCATGTTGATTCCTCCCACTTCTGCTCTGCAATACCAAACAGGCTGCACAGAAGTTGTGCTGAGCATGGGAAGGGGAGTTTGGGGACAACCCAGCATGTCAGTTCTCTCTGCCACCAGCTCAGGGATGCCCAGGCCTGGCTGATGCTCACGGAGCCCCCCCAATCCCCACATTCCTGTCCACCAGGCCCTGGGCTGCTCCTCCACCTCCTGGCTGTCAAGGCCAGTGCTTTATGTAGTTTATCCCCACAACTGGCCTATGCCATGGGGTATAATTATCCCCACTTACAGATGAAAACATCGAGGCTTGAAATAGCATTTAGCCTCCCCAGCAAATGTCAGAGCCATGAGTCCAACCTGGGACTGTGGCCCAGGGGAAGGGCCCACCAGGTCCCTCGGTACCCTGGCTGCCCAACAAGGTAGATTTGTTTCTACCTCATTCCCCACCTTCTGGACCAGTGGTCCTTCTCCCCCTACTGCCCACGCCCGCCCCTGGGGCTCTGACCCCCAACAAGGCAGCCCCCGAGAGGGAGGCTGGAGGAAGCTTTTCTGGAACCCTCGGTTCAGGGTGAGGGATGAGGCCAGGGAAAGTGGATGGCCAGAGCTCCCACCTTCTGTCTGAAGAAGCTGGGCCCTAAAAATAGATAAAGTGGGAGGAGGAGTCTAAAATAGGCTCCAGACAAAGTGGTGGGGCCCTCCCTGTGTGTGTGTGTGCTCACACCCACACACACATGCTCACACCCACACACGCGCACATGTGTGCACATATATCTCCTCTGGGAAACTTGGAAGCCCCGGAGCAAAGACTAGGGAGCAAAACCACAGAGACACACGAGCACACTCAGGCTCACAGAAATATGCAAGCCTCGCGGGAAGCTCTGAGTCAGGATCCTCACGCGCATCACACACACACACACACACAGGCACACAAGCACAGAACAGTCTGTGGTATAACTCAAGGCTGAACAGGAGGAGATGACAGGAATGGAGGAAGAGAAGGAAGCAGCGAGTCCCATCTGTCCCCCATCCCACCTCTCCAAGTCCTGCCAGCTGAGCCCCTGCTCTGACCTGGGGAGGCGGCTCAGGGAATGGGGTGGGGAGAGGCTGGGGCAGCTATGGAAAGAGCCAGGGTCTGGGCGCTGAATCCCGCAGCCCTGACACTTCTGCACTCAGGCTTGGAGAAATGACTTAGCCTGCCTGAGCCCTGACCACCTTACCTGTGAGATGGGGCAGTGATACTATTCACAGGTTCACCATTCCTGGGATGTAGAAAGTGCAAGATATGTGTTCTGAAAAGGCAGCTGGCCATGTGCAGCAGTGCAAATGGCCCAGACTAGACATCTTGGTTTATGCACTTGCTAGCAGGTCATCTGTCCCCCTGAACTTCAGTTGTTGCATCTCTGAAATGGGGCTTGTAAATAATGCCTTCCTGCCCTGGCCCAGCTCAGATGGCTGTTGTAAGACTTGAAGAGATGATGCTCTGAGGGGTGGTTGGTTCTGTGGGATAGGGGGAGCCCCTGTGGGGCGGGTGTGTACATACCCAGAGCAAGGAGAGGGTCCCACTGCCCTCAGAACACTTGCCCTTGAAGACTCACCTAGGCCCGTGGAATAAAGAAGCCAGACTGAATGAAGTGAGGAACAGGGCCTGTGGGATTTGCAGCTTTATAAAAAGGCTTCCCAGGGCTCACCACACTGGCATGCCCCAAGGGCTTTTCTCTAAAGACCAGGCATTTGTAGCTCTGAATGGACTTTCCCCACCTCGGGCTAGGAACCCCAGAGGACTTAGTCATTCAGCAATAGAAATCCAGGGAGGGCTCGCTGCCCTCAACCTTCTCAATAGAAATGGTGCCATGAGAGGCAGCCAGTCCTGGGTCAGGCACGTGGGGAGTCAGGCTCTGTCTACTCTCTTGCCAGCTGTGTGACTCAGATGGCAACCTAGTGTTCTGGAGTCTCGGTTTTCTCCTCTAGCAAATGTGTTTAAGAAGCCCCTGTCTTTAATAAATGAGGCTGTTGTGAGGTTGCACTGAAATCACAGATGTAAAGGGCTGACAAACAGCAGGCACTCAATAAATGCCTTGTATCATGAAGAGACACAGCCCAGCAGGAACCAGCCTGCTTAGGTTTGAGACAATTTGGTTACAGACACAAGGTTTCCCGCAACCCGCCACCTCAGGTTCAGTAATTTGCTAGAGCCGCTCCCAGAGCTCAGAAAGCACTTTACTTACATTTACCGTTTTTTTTTCATAATGCATATTGTAAAGGACATGCGTGAAACACCAGGTGAAGAGACACATAGGGTCCAGGAGGGGCCTAAGGGCAGGAGCTTCTGTGCCAGACTCCCCATAGTTTAGGGATTTTTATGGAGGCTTCATTATGTCAGCATGATAAATTATTAACTCAATCTCCAGCCCCTCTCCCTTCCCTCCAAATGATGAGGGTGAGGCTGTAAGTCCCAAGCTTCTAATCATGGTTTGGTCTTTCTGGTTACCAGCTCCCATCCTGAAGCCATCCAGGAGCCCACCAAGAGTTACCTCATTAGAGCAAAAGATGCTCCTGTCACCCAGGAGATTCCAAGGGACCTAGGGGCTCTGTGGCAGGAACCAGGAGCAGAGACCAGTTACATGGTTCTTATTATGTCACAGACACCACGAGACACTGAGGCCTAGAGAGATGAGACAACAGAAAGTTGAGGAGAGAGGATAAGACCAGGAGTCCCAGTGTCACAGGGAGAAATGGGACAGAGAGACCAAGAGACAAGAAGACAGAAAGGAGACGTAGAATTCTCTGGTTGGGAGGAAATGCTTCTGCAGGCCTGCTCCCCCATCTCGGGCAGGCTAGAGAGACAAAGCTTTACCCCCACAAACGGCCCCTCAGTATCCTATCCAGTGACCCTGTCCCAACCTGCCCTCTCTCAGCCCAGCCCCTCTACCCATCCTGGACAGGTGAGTTCTATAGGTGGCCCACCGTTGGCTACCTGACTATTCCTTAACCACGGGGTTGGATTATCCACGCCCACTGCTGGCCAGATGAGGATGCGCCCAGGGCCCTCTCCAGGAGCGAGTGTGATGGGTAGGGCTGGAGCTCACTCTCATATAGGCGTCAGAAAAGCAGGACCGCTCCCTGGGACTGCCTAGGACTCACCCCGCGGCGGCTGGGGCCACAAATGCAAAGAGTACCCCATAGGCCTGCTTCAGACCACCGGTAACTGCGATCATTATTACTGATGCGTACTGAGTATCAGGCAGTGTGTTAGGTGCTTTACATTCATTATCATTTCACCGTCCTAATGACCTGTGGGGTCAACACTTTTAATACGTATTTTATAGATGAGGAAACCGACTCAGAGAGGCTGGGTAACTTACCCCAGGCAACACAGCTAGAAAGGGGCAGAACCAGCTTTGCTGCCCAGGTTTGACTGTCTCCTGAGTACTGCCACCTCCCGTACACCCCAGGCTTGTCTCAGAGACGGTGACACAGGCACCTGCTGGGAGGACAGGGGTATGACTGGTCTAATAAGAAGACAGGAGGCAGCTGGCATCTTGGGATGCATCAGGAGACCTAATGCTTCTCTATCCACTTGGCTGCTCAGTGGTCTTTGGCCAGCCCCTTGCCTCTGGCCTCAGTTATTTCATCTGCAAAATGAGAAGGTTGTGCCACACACCCGGAGGCCCTTCCTGACTCTGATTCATTCTACCACCTCCACCTCCAACAAATCAGTAATCCCGTTTATTGATGTAACTTCACAGCAGTCTAAATAAGACTCCTTAACCTGAGGTCCCTGGACTTCTGCCGGCTCCACGAGCTGCCTAGAATTACAAGGAAAACTGTGTGAGTGTCTGTGCGCTCAGTGTGCGTTTTCCCAAGGAAGGTGTCCATGTTGGCACCAGATTCTAATCCCCCAAAGCTAAGAACCACTGATGATTCTAGCTTTTTAGAATTTCCCTAACCTCGATCTAAATGTTTAGGGGAATGAGTTGAGGAAGTTGAGGAATGAGTCGAGGAAGTTGAGCCCATACCCTGTAAAATTCTTCCCTTCACTATGTTTAAAGTCCCCTCAGGCTTCCTGCACCCTCCAGCTACACTGACCCGTGAAGACCCCCGGGCCCACTGCTTCCGGTTAGTCTCTGCCTCCGCGCTGAAGCTCGGATCTGTTCTCTGCGATGTCTTTGCGAGTCCTCAACCCCATGTCCTTCTCTCCACCGACCGCGCCAGGAGGCGGGTCCTTCGTGAGGTAGGTAGGCAGTAACCAGGACGGCCAGTAGGGGTCGCAGGGCGGAGGAACCCGTGGAGCATCGGCGGGCAGAATCTCGCGTTTATTGGCCCCTTTGATAGCCTGGAGGTGAGGAAAGCATGGCAGCACGAGGCCTGCGTCTGGGTCTGGACCTCCCCTCCGAAGGCACCAGGTTTTCCATCTGTAAAGGGGAGGGAGGTGGTCTAGAATCGCAGGATGTTTGCTAGGCAGTCTTGCTGCACTGATGTCCTGTGGACCTTTCTGACTGATAATGGAGGCGGGAAGCTGTCTTCAACTGCCCTTGGCAGAAGCTCTTGGCCCAACAGCCTTAGGGAATGAAATAAAATGACTCCAGGGCCCTTTCCCAGAACTGACTGAGAAAACAGAGCCCACTGTCCTGATGCTGAAGGGGAGACTTACCCCCCCCACCCCGCCAAAGAGAAAGGAGGGCTCTACACAGGGCTGCCCCAAGGGCTGCCTGGGGTGGTGCGGGAAATGAGACCCCAGTGGGGGCCTCCCAGGGGTGAGCTGGGGCCTTGCGGTCAGGGCTCATGGGACCTAGGTGACAGACAGCAGCCTCTTAGTGTACAGCTTCTGCCCATGTCTGGAGAAGCCCAGGCATACCGCTGGTAAGGCAGAAGGTGTTATCCTGCCCTTAGCAGCTGCAGGGAACAGAGCTGGAGCCTGGACCATCCTCCTCATGCAGCTGCTGGGGGCTCTCCTGTCCCAGTTCTTCTGAACCCTCCCTCCCCATCAGCTCTAAATTCTGGGCCCAGAGAGAGCAGGGATGAGGGAAGGCCCTACAGAGATGTACGGCAGAGGGGTGGGGGGCATGCCCAATCATCTATCCCAGGACCCCCTCCAAGGAAGAGGACCAAGTCCTCATAGGTACAAAGAGACCCTCTCCCTCTCCCGCCTCCACCCACCTGCTCCCTTCATCCCACCCATCTCCCACCCCCCAAATAAGTAAAACAAGACACACACATGACAGGGATAGAGTGCTCTCTAGAAAAATCATAATGAGCCTGCCAAGGGATGCTTTGTACAGTGGTGGGAATCAGGGAGCCTGCCCCACCCTAGCACTGAGAGAACCAGGAGGGGCTGAGGCAGTATATGGACAGAGAACAGGAGGGAAAGGGCAGCACCTGGGGCTCTGGGAAAGTCGAGTCGGCACTTGGGGATGGCCCCAGGCCTAGGCCCAGAGAACAGGGAGAGGGACTGGGGTGGGCTCAGGGTGGCAGTGGCAGGCAGCCAAGCCTTCAGTGTAGGAAGGGGGACCACCTCTGTCCTTCTTTGGGGGTTCTCTTTCCCCTGCCCCAGCCAAGGAGGGGTCCATGAAGGAGCTGGGGTCTGTGGCAATACTCGCAGTGGGAGCTGCTTCCCAAGCTGAAGGTCATGGACAGGGGGACCACTGGTGACAGAGGAGGAAGAGCACATCTGCAGGGGGATGTATATGTGCACACACATGTGTGGGCTCCTGAGTGATCTCCCACATCTGTGACCTTGGTCTGAGGACCGTCTGAGGCTGGCCTTTCCCGTGGTCTCACCAGCATCACAGAGCAGGAACCCATGCTGAGCTCTCTCTTACCCACTATCCATACAGAACCAGGCAGCTTCCAGACCTCGAGTGAAAATCCACCAACCCATCTCCTAACACAGAGCCCTGGGGACAATCAGCAATTTAGATTGTCCACATCACAGGACTTGCCCACACTAGGCTGGACACCCAGCCACAACCAGTGTCTTCCTATCCTGGGCCTGGGAGACTGTGAGCCAGTTGGGAGATGCCTTTCCCCTGCCCAGAGCATGCCTGCCAGGCCTTGGGGCCATAATACTGCAGCTGATGCCCTAGCACCTTGCATCTATTGCCCTGACCCTCTGGGATCCTGGGGGAGGGAAAAGCCAGGCCCCACAACTGAGGAGAGAGTGGAGATGGACAGGGTGGGAAGGGTGGAGTCAAGCTAAGCCCTGCCCGGGGATAAATTGGAAGAGGGCCAGTCACCCCTACCCCACCCCAGCCTGGCACTCCAGCTCCCTAGCACAGCCAGTGGGAGGAGGAGGCTGGCTGTGCTCAGGGCAGGCATGGGGACTAAAGCTAAGGTGTTTGGCTGAAGAGTCTAGCTGGGACCCTCCTCTTGGGGGTGTATGGGGAGGAAGCCCAAACTCTTCCCTTCACAAAAATGTAGGAGATGAATGAGTCTCCAGCCTGAGTGTGACAACAGGACCCTTGGAGGAGGGGTGGGAAGAGACAATGGCCCTGGGGATGGGCTATGCCTACCCCCAACCCCCCCTTCCACTGGGGCTGGTTTTCCTTTAGGGCCACTCAGATCAGGTGGCTTAGGGGCTCCAGGGCCCCTTAGAATTGATGTTCTGGGTCTCTCTCTTGGCCTTCTGGTGCCTCCAGCCATACCCTCTGCTGCAGAGTGTGGACAGGCTTTCAAGGGAGATGACCCACGTGGTCTTTGCCGCTGGGGAGGGGCTGGGGAGCTGCAAGGCTGGCAACTGTGAGGACCTTGTGGCCCCACCATGAATTGTGGCAACTTGCAATTCATTTTGGTCTGGGGAGAGGAACTCTCTGTTATCTGCAGAGAAAGAGACAAACAGACCTCAGATAAGGGCCTTTGGAGATATCATTTTAAGACAAGAACAGCAATTTTGATCACTTACCGTCTCTGAGCAGAGTGATGGTCAGGGATGGGGCTAATGGCCTAGGGGTCCCCTCCTCATCCTCCAAACTCTAGACCAGACTTCCCCCCACATCCACCCCTGTCCAGCTGTGCAGGGTAAAGGCCATAGATATCAAAAGGGGACAGCAGGGTTTGTTGGACATGTGGGATGCCATGATGGAGGGGCAGTCCAGGGATGAGCCAACAGTACCACCAGTGTGACAGCAGCCTCAAGCTCCCCTTGATGGCATTTTGAATGTGACATCTCTGCCCTCAAGGCTGCTGTTGGCCCTGTTGAGAGCATTTGCTCATGCTCTTGGTTACAGGGTTCAGCGACCAGCAGGTAAAATATCTCCCTTGAGGGCTTGGGCATTTGGGGAGACGACTGGCTGTCACACTCTCCATTCCATGGCAGTTACCTTGTCCCCAGGCTCTAGAGCCACACAGACCAGAGATCAAGTCCAGCTCCGCACTGAGCAGCTGCAGGACCCTGAGTGAGATACTCTGACCTCTGAACCGCCACTTGCTCACCTGTAAAATGGGGATGATATAGCCCCACACATGATAGGTGAATAAATGCGAGGACTCGTGCAAGCGCATCTCCCGTACCCGGGAGATAGGAGGGCTCAAATCATCCTGGCTGTGATTACTATGACTACTGCATCGCATCCATATAAAGATGCATTTTGACATCCCCAAAATAGAGGCGCATTCTACATTAGTGGTGTAAATTGGCAGCTTCTTTTTCCGAATTGGGGGTAAATAAGTGGGGCTTCTTGTAACTGACGGCGACTTAAATTTATCCCACTCCCACTCTCGAAAAGGCAGATCCACCCCCACCCCAGGGCCTTATAACCCCTATCTTCCCGTATCATCGAGGCTCTGGGCACTCACAGCTCTGTGTCCTCCAGGGCCGGGGGGCGCTCCAGAGCCTGCCTCCGCTTCCGCACGGCCCCCATTATCTTCTTGCGGGGCCCCAGGGGGACGCTGATGCTGCGGAGGTCGAGGTCGGAGCACAGCATGAGCGCCTCGAGGTCCAGCTTCTCCTGCCGCAGGAGAGAGGTGAAGTCCTCCATGTGCAGGGAGGCCAGGAAGGTCTCCAGCGGGCTTGTCTCGGGCTCCAGGTCCTCATCCAAGCCCAAGTCCAGCTCGTCCCAGGGCAGCTCCTCCCCGCAGCTGCGGTCCTGCAGGCTGTTGGCACTGCCCAGGCTGTCGTCGTCCAGGCTGGGGGAGCTCTGCAGCCGAGCCCGCAGCGTGCCCGCGCCGTCCAGCGCCGCGTCCTCGCGGCCCAGCCCGTGCAGCCCGCTGCTCAGGTAGTTCCTGCGGAACACCATGGTGCCCAGGCCGGGGCGGGTAAACAGGGAGTCGTGGCCTGAGTCGGTGCTGACCTCCGAGTGCGCAGGCTCGGCCACCAGCGTGGCACGGGAGACGCTGTCCTCGTCCGAGAGGAACATGTCCCGGAGCGGGGCGCGGCCCCACTCCTTGGGGTTGGCGTAGGTGCCCTGGCGCACGAACATCACGTCGCTGCCCAGCTGCAGGCCCGAGAGCGAGCGCACGCTCTTGCGGCCGTCCTCGGAGACCTTGAAGGTGCCCTCGCCGCCTTGCTTGCGCCGCTCCAGCTTCCGCTGGATCTTGGTCTTGCCCTTGGCGGTGCCGTGCAGCGTGGCCTGCGAGTAGGGCAGGTGGCTGCCCAGCGCCAGGTGCTGCAGCCGGCCGCTCAGGGTGCTGGACGTGAGGCTGGAGAAGCTGAGCGTGTCCGAGCGCTCGGCCAGCTCGCGCCGGTAGCGCCGCTCCATGCGCTCGTGGTGCTTGCGCTGCATCTTGGCGCACTCGCGGATGCGCCGCTCCGCCTCGCGGAAGGCCTTGTCCTTCAGCTTACCCACCAGCTTGGGGTTGAGGCTGCTCTGCTTGGCCGCGATGGAGTCCAGGTAGCGCACGCACTCCATGTGGCCCTTCATGGCGGCCATGTCCAGCGGCGTGTGGTAGTCGTTGTCCAGGCACCAGATGTTGGCCCCGAAGGACACCAGGAAGGAGAGGCAGTGCAGGTGGCCATTGGAGGCTGCCAGGTGCAGGGGTGTGTTGCCCCAGATGTCACACTTGTCCGGGTCACCCCTGCAGGGAGGACACGCGGAGAGGGGTGAGGAGCCGTCGCAAGCTCAGGCAGGCAGTCGGCACTGGCTGCAGGTGTGGGGAGCCCCCAGCCTGGCTGAGCTTCCCCACCGGCACACGAGAGGGCCTCGATGGTCTCTCCTCTGACTGCAGGAGACACGCAGCCCTGGGCCACCCGTCCCAACTAGAGCCAGCCCAGGGTTAAAAATGGCCCCAGGCGGACAAGGGATGGGGCCACGGAGAAGGCGGGTCCTGGGCGGGGCCTTCCCCTAGAGAACTGAGGGCTGGGAATCTCAGGGGATAAATATTTGATGCCCGGAGAGAAAGGAGTGAATTATTCATGGGGCCCAGCGGGGAGCTGGCCCAGAGAGGTGGTGGGCCAGGGCCGAGTGTGGGTCTCTAGGCAGGCGTGGCGGCGAGAGCGGCTGCCAGTGCAGGAGTGACGGGAAAAGAGGAGAGGGTGGTGTGTCCTGGGCCTGAGCCCTTAGTGAATGAGTGTGTGAAGGTGTGTGCCTGCGTGTCGGCGGGCACGGCCACGTCGGCAGGGAGCAGGGCCAGGCCTGGCAAGGCCGCGTGTGAGAGCAGGTGTCGGGTCTTGGCCTGGGCCAGGAGGGGAGCGTGGGAGCAGCCAGGAATGGAGGGAGGGGGAGGGCAGTCGGAACCTGGGCCCAGCTGCCCTCCCTACCTCGGACTGCCCCATCTTTGGGAGCCCTGTGAGGCAGGCTGGTTTGGGCCTGTCCAGGGGTCCCACGCAGCCCCCTCCAACACCCTCCACATCAGACTGTGCTCGCCTTGGACACGTTCCTGCTGGCTCCTCCAAGCTCGCCCCTCCCTCAGGGGCCTAGCTCAGCCTCTGCCCCACGCTAATGAGGAGGCTGCCCCGGAGGGCTAGAGGAAGAATCACTTCTTTGTCTCAACAGCTCCCCCTACAACCCCTTCCTCACTTCCCTTACTGGTCTCCAAGTCCTGTGGGACAATGTGGGATGCTTGGCATCTGGCCCACAACCCACAAAACACCTCTGTAGGAGTTGGGGTGTTTGGTGCACCAAGGGGCCCCCTTTCCCCCTCCTCCTATGAATCTCTCTGAGCAGGGAGCAGGATGGCAGGATCACCGTGTGCCCTCCTGGCTTAAACAGGGGCCAGTCTCAGCCTCTTGGAACGTGGCTCAGCTTCCTGGGCTTAAGGATGCTCCCGTCTGCTGCTGGGACCGAGGAGCAGCTGGGGAAGGAGGGCAAGGAGGGTTCCCTACCCACCACATGCTCAAACCACAGGCCAGTGCATGGCACCAGGGCCAGCTGGGCCCCTTCCCCTCCACCATGATTTCCCAGGGTCTGAGATATTCATATTAACCCTCCTGGGGCATCTCTTACACTCTTTTTCCCTGTCCAGGCCACCCTCGTGTCCAGTTCAACCTGACTTCTTTTTATAAAACTGCTGGGGCTGGCAGAGTTGTCCACAGTGTCATTCAGCCCTAGGGAGCCCACATCAGTGGCCCTGGACACCACATTCCTCAACTGCTACCTCCAAATCCCTTCCCAGGCCCTGACGCCTGGATTCAATGCCCACTTCTCCCCCCAGATGACTCCAAAGGGAGAGGGAGGGAGTGTGTGGTGGGAGAGGAACACAAAGGGAGTTATGGGGTGGCTGAACCCAGTGACATTTGGTACGGTGGACAGTGCCCATAAATCCTAGGAATGTGCAGGGAGAGAACTGTGTGAGACCAGCTAGTGGGGAGGTGTGGGCACTGGCTGGGGGGAGCCCTTGGACTGGGGGGTTAGGCAGTGAAGAGCCTCTCCTTTCCCAGCCCCACTTCTGGCCCCTCTGAGGCTTCTGCTCCTCCTCCCCCCTTCTCACTGTTCCCTCGCTCTTGCTTCCAGATGCCACCCACCCAGGAGGAAATCCTTCCCACCTTCCCCTTATTCTCCAACCCCTCCCACAATTGTGGACACCCAAGTCCCAGCCCCTTCCCTCCCTGGCCCCACATCCAGGTCACAAGTGTCACACAAGCCTCAGCTTGTTTCCCTCTCCCACGACTGTCAATCTCCAAATTCCACCTCAGTGTCCGTCTTAGGGAAGGGGGTGGCTCAGAGGAGGGAGGAAGATGCCATGGAGTGGGAAGGGTGGTGAGAGTAGGTCTTCAGGGGCCCGCAGATGCCCCAGGACAGGAGATACTCACCCGCGACTCACGATGAGGCGCAGCGACTCCAGGTTGCCGTGGTAGGCAGCCCAGAGGGTGGGGGTCATGCCGTCCTCGTCGGGAGCGTTCAGCTCCTTCCTGGTGGCCTCCTTGAGGAGTTCCAGATAGCCATCCCGAGCCGCCCGGTGGTACTGGTCATTCATGGCGCCTGACTTGGACGGGGCGCGCAAGGGACACGGGGAAATGCCCTCCGCGGGGGAGGGCAGCGGGGTTAGAGCTGAGGCATGGGGTTGGGGGAGGGGGCCGGGGCCGGGGCCGGGGCCGGGGCCGCTAGCCACCACCGCCGCAGACAGAAGATGCGGAGCGCCCTGGCCGCCGCTACTCGGACATCTGAGCCGCTCACCCGGCGGGGAAGAGGCGGGGGGAGGATCTCCTGCGGCCCAGAGGGCCGCCCCGGGCTGCCCCTGGGTCCTAAACACCCTGCTCCCGATCACACGGGGTGACCCGGCTCCCTAACACACCGGGCCTATCTCTCTCCGAAAGTGTCCACCCCAGCGTCCCGCCCCGTGGGGACAGTTGGGGATAGTAGGCGGTCTCTCCTAACTAGAGCTCCGGCTCTGCGGACCCGACGTCTCCACCAGTTAAAGGAACGGGCCAAGGGGGGCAGAGGGATGTCTGAGGGCAGTCCTGACCCATGGGACGGTGGGCCTAAGAGGGTTACGAGGACCGATGGCCAGACTGTCAGGGAGCAAGACTCGGCTGTCTTGGCCACCACCAGCTTGCTCAGAGGTCGCCCGGCGCGCTCCAGCAGGGGGCGCTGAAAGACTGGGCGCCGACTCTGTGCGCCGCCGGAGAACTTCGTCCACAAGCCGGACTTAGACGCATCCAGCGGAGCACGGACGCAGGGGTAGGGATAGAGGAAGAGGAAACTTCTATCACTGTTGAGGGTGTCGGGGAAAGAGGCACCAGTGTCCCGATCTTGGACCAGCGACAGGGGAGCACGAAGGTACCGGGCGCGCCGGGGCTGGAAGGGCGTCGGGGTGCCTGAGGGCCCTTGGGCTTGTGTTGAGCCTCAGCTCTCAGGGCTCTGGGCGTCGGCAACGCGGGGCGCCAGGGCGCGGTGGGCGCCGAGGGCGGTGTGCCCTCTGGGTGCCGCAGTGCGGGGCCGCGCCCGAGCCTGGCTGCGCCGAGGTGACAGGGCGGCGGGGGAGGGGGCGCCTCTTAATGGGTAAATATAAATCTCACCTTATCTGGCTCCCGCACGCTCTTCCCTAAATTCAGCTCGGAAAAAAGATGGATCATGTGAGTGGGACTGAGAGGTTTATGGAGCTGAGTTCCCGCGGCTGTAAATCACCTTGCCCTCCCCGGTATAAAGCGCCTGTCCAGCCCGGCCTGAGAGAGAGGAGACACTTGCCGCCCCCTGACCCCCAGCTCAGCGCGGGCTCCTGGCCCACCTGGCAGACGGATTTGGTGAGTGGGACCTTGGACAGGGTCCGATGGGGCTGCAATCGCTTCTCCTTTCCTCCCGTCGAGCGCGCGACCTGCACGGTAGGCTTTCCTCTTTCCCTTCCCCAGCGCTTCCTCCACCACCTGCAGCCCCTACCTGACGGGTGAGCAGCTCCTCGGTCCCCAAATCTAGGGATAAGATGGAGGAAGGAGAGCCCTGGGGGGCTCACCTGGGCTCCTGTCCGCTGCTCTCCCACAGTGACCCCTCCAATCTCCAGTCACCCCTGCCATGTCCGAGGAGCTGGCCACGGGCCCCAAGGAGAGCCCGCCGGAGCCGCGGGCAGGCCCCCGCGAGGTGTGGAAGAAGGGCGGCCGCCTGCTGTCGGTGCTGCTGGCCGTGAACGTGCTCCTCCTCGCCTGCACGCTTATCAGCGGCGGCGCCTTCAACAAGGTGGCGGTGTACGACACCGACGTGTTCGCGCTGCTCACCACCATGATGCTGCTGGCTGTGCTCTGGATTCTCTTCTACCTCCTTCGCACTGTGCGCTGCCCCGACGCCGTCCCCTATCGGGACGCGCACGCCGGCCCCATCTGGCTCCGAGGTGCCAGGGGAGGTGGGATCGGAAGTGGAGTGGGTTCGGTGCGGAGCTGGAGGCTGGGGTGCTCTTCAACGTAGACCAGTGAGATGTTCCCCTAGGGAAGACTAGATGTGTCTGAGGGTGAGGTGGGCAGCTGTTGAGAGAGAAGAGAAAGAGTCCTGCAAGTGGGATGAGAGGAACTTCTTTGCCCTGTCTAAAGACTGAAAGAGGGGGTCACGGGAGAGACTCTGATGGAGAGCAAAAAGATGATAGATGCAATGAAAAGAGCCTATCCAGGCTAAGCTTATCTATGCAGCCCCAAAGAGATGGGGGCTCAATTGGACATCCATGCATCCACTGACTCAATCTTACACCTATCCTTCCATCCATCCATCCACCCATCCAACCATCCTCCCACCTATCCCATTCATCCATCCATCCACCCAACTATCCAACTACTTAGCCATCCATCCTCAAATCTATCAGCCTTCTCTTCTGTCTCTCTGACCACCGCCCCCATCCCATTCCCAGGTGGGCTGGTGCTGTTTGGGATCTGCACTCTCGTCATGGATGTCTTCAAGACCGGCTACTACTCCAGTTTCTTTGAGTGCCAGTCAGCCATCAAGATCCTGCACCCTCTCACCCAGGCTGTGTTTGTCATTGTCCAGGTGGGTGGGAGGAGTGAAAAGGAGCCAACACCTGGCCTGAAGTCAGGAGACCCAAGCTCCACTCCTCTTCTACGCTGAGCAATCAGTTAAGGTGGGGATAGGATTGTAGTGCAGATCATATGAGTTCATAAATCATGAAGCACTTGGTAATGTGAGTGCCTACTTATGGGCCCCGCAATTTCATTTCAACCTAAGCAGATAACACCTAGGAGGTGTCAGTTGTGGCAGCTGCTGGGTCTCCTTGAACCTGCCCTGCCCTTCGTGGGTGCCCATAGAAGGCATCGATCTCAGCTCAGGGTCCTGCTGTGGGCATGGCCAGTTTGACCTCAGTCTCATCCCCTATATTCTGTATTTGTTCAGGAAATAGGGCATCTGATATGTGGGATTTTTCAAACAAGTTCAAGTTTTTATTTGTTGCACAAGTAACACTTGAAAAGATCTTCTGGTTGACCTGAGGCAGGACTAGTCCTACATGGGACCAGAACAGACCCCAGCCCTGTATCATAATCAGAATGACCATGTGTGTGGTTCCCTCTGCTGAAACATCACCCCTGCTGCCCAAGTCTCCACAATTTTTAACACATTTATGACTCTGGCATTTATATTGTTTTAATTTTACATTTTATGAGTTTGAAGAATATTTAGGCAAAACAGAAATACAGATACCCCACCACAATCAATATCACAGCAAGGATTTGTGGGCAGCCAGTGAGAGCCATTACTTGCAGGGCAGCCAAGGATGAGGATGGGGCAGGGGATGCTGCCAAAAAGAAGTGAGAAGCTTCCCAGATTCTTTCTACTTTGAACAAGACCTAGCCTGAGGCTGGTCTTGCTCCCAGGAATAAGTAAATAGCCAGTCAAAACTCCTCCTCCTCTACCCTGCCAAGAAACAGAAAACAAACCGCATGCCAGAGAGCTTACAGGTGACATTTTTGCAGACTTTAAAAGAACAGAGAACTATTTGATACAAATTGATCCAGAGAATAGAAAGAGAGCTTGTGTCTCATTCGGTAAGGATGCAATGAACTTGATCACTTAGTACTGGGGCTCGTGAGGTGGACAGGACATAGTGGTCGGCGTGGACGTGGGCGCTCCTGGGTTGATCCTGTCTGCAGAGGAGATGACCCCACCACTCTCTCTCAACACAGACTTACTTTCTCTGGGTCTCCGCCAAAGATTGTATTCACACCCACCTGGATCTGACACGGTGAGTGCCTGCTTCATGTCCGTGGTTCAATGTCCATGCACAGGTGCCAGGCTCACTTGGCATGAGATGAACGTTTCCCAACCTGGGCCATAGGTCCTCTTTCTGCCCCCAGGTGGAGTTTCAGCCAGGCTCCCTGACTTGGTCAGCCTGATTTCTACAACCCTGTGCTTTGTGTGTGTGCGCAGGCGTGTGCACACTTTGCACACTTGGTGGGATGGTGTGTGTAGTGTACAAATGTCCTTTCCCCTAGTGAAGGGAGCAGCAGTGGCCTGAGTCTCTGGGTGTGCCCAGCCCTCTCTTGGCTGGCGTCCCAGCCAGGCTAAGTCTACCTTCCAAACTCAGCTACCCTGTTCACACAGGGGCCTGATTGCTCGCTTGCTTGTCAGCACCATCTCCCAGTACAGCATCCACAACTCTCCACCTTGCCAGAAACCCAAGATGAGCCAAAGACTCTCCCTGGCCTCTTTGCTCTCCTTCCCCAAACAGATGTGGTCTCATGTTCACCCTCACCACCAACCTGGCTATCTGGATGGCAGCCGTGGTGGATGAATCCGTGCACCAGGCCCACTCCCACAGCAGTTCTCATGGCAACACCAGCTACACCCGCCTCACTCAGGACTGTGAGTGCCCACTTCAGATTAACCCTGGCCCTGTGGTGGCCAGACCTTGGGCTGGGTGCTTTGTGGACTTGTAGAGGGAAGCCAGGTGGAGGCCAGGAACCTCCTCTTGCTCCAGGCTACACCTCTGAAGAAGTTTAGGTGTGGGTGACCCAGGAGGAAGAATGGAGCAGCATCTTTTCATCTTGGATGATACAGCCTCGGACCCACTGTCCAGGTCTTCATCCCAGCAAAGAAGGGATTCATGCTCCAGGAAGAAAGCGCGAGAGTGATCAGGCTGGAGAGAAGGGAAGGGAGAGAGAGTGATTTGATAATGAAATTATAGGATCAGATGGGAGTGCCTGGCAAGGAGGAGAAGGTAGAAATAATCACGATGACAATAGTGACAATTCACTGAGCCCTATGTGTCAGGTGCTGTGCTAAGTGTCTTAAACACTATCTTCCTTAACCCTTGCAACCTCCCTATGTGATGGGTACTATTCATATTCCCTTTTTACAGATGCAGAAATTAAGGCATAGAGAGATTAAGTAGCTTGCCCAAGGTCACAGAACTTGAAATTGGGAGAACTAGTGTTGAGATCCATCTTTGCTTTGAACCAATATACTATCCTGAAGAATTGTTCCCCAAGTCCTGGTCCTCTGGACGTCTTTAGGGCCACACCACCAGCTAAATTCAGACTAGATGACCAAGTCCATCTGGACCTCACCTGAAGACACACACACCCAGTATGGGAGGATCCAGGAATGGAAAGCCTGCGTCCAGACCTACAGAAGACCCCGGCCCAGCAAGACTGACAAAGGACCACCTAATGTGCTGGGGCCGCAGGGGTACAGAGAGGCACACTGGGAGTATTTTTCTGAGGGAATGGGACAGTGTGAAGCAGGCAATTCTGCAGTTCAGATTTTTTTTTTTCAATTGCACACTGGCTATTGTTTACTGATGTGTCCCACAGTCTCTGGCACATACTAGGTGCTCAGTAAATACTTGTGGTGTGAATGAGTGTGCCAGGCCCTGTGCCGGCTGTGGGATATGGTGGTGGCAGATAGCAACCCTGCCCTTCCAAAGGTCACGGTCTAGGGGTGAGGTTCTTCGGGGTGGGTACCTCCGGAGGGTGGGAGGGCAGCTCTGTGCCCCTCTCTCCGCAGGGGAGCGTGCGGGCAGCGCCGCCGGAGGAGACTGCTCCTGCAACACGGCCGTCTGCCAGGTCTTCCAGCAGGGCTCCTTCTACTTGTATCCCTTCAACATCGAGTACAGCCTCTTTGCCTCTACGATGCTCTATGTCATGTGGAAGAACGTGGGCAGGCTGCTGGCCTCCTCGACCCACAGCCACAGCCACACCCCATCCCCCATCAGCCTCTTCCGGGAGACCTTTTTTGTTGGTCCCATCCTGGGCCTGATACTCTTCGTGGTAGGGCTGGCCGTCTTCATCATCTACGAGGTCCAAGTGAGCGGGGAGACAGGCCGCACCCAGCAGGCCCTGGTCATCTACTACATCTTCAACATCGTCTGTCTGGGGCTCATGACCTTGGTCAGCCTGAGTGGCTCAGTCATCTACCGTTTTGACCGCCGAGCCATGGACCATCATAAGAACCCCACGCGCACCCTGGACGTGGCCCTGCTGATGGGTGCTGCTCTGGGCCAGTATGCCATCTCCTACTACTCTATCGTGGCTGTGGTGGTAGGCACACCCAGGGACCTGCTGGCAGGGCTCAACTTAGCCCATGCTCTGCTCATGATTGCGCAGCACACCTTCCAGAATGTGTTCATCATTGAGAGTCTCCATCGGGGACCCCCCGGGGATGAGATTCATGGCACTCCCCCCAAGGAGCCCTGCCAAGGTCTTACCTTTGCCAACCTGGACGCCCTCCACACCTTGCCTGCCTGCCCGCCCCCCGCCGAGCTGGTTGGCCCCAGCCCAGCAGGACCTCAGGAAGCAGTGAGCATCACCTCAGCCCCCAAGGGCCACTGGAGAAGCAGGTGCTTGAAGGACATTTCTCTGTTTCTCCTGCTCTGCAACATCATCGTGAGTAACGGTGGAGATGGGGATGGGCTTGGGGGAAGACAAGGCTGAGGAAAGATGCTCTTTCAGGTTTATTCACTTGGCCCCCCTCTGTCTTGCTCCGAGCCCATTTGAGAATCTGTATGGCTCTCTGGGAAAGGAGCAGACTCAGCGAAGGTCTGGTGTAGCCCCCGGGGCAAGCAGCATCTCAGGGCACACAGAGAGAATGAAATCCCAGAGTTCTGGCATCTAGACAGCGAATGGAGCTGAAGAGAGCCCCAGAGAATGCTGACATGGGGGCTGGGCAGAGGTGAGAGGGAGCTGTGAAACTAATGTGGAGAGTAGGGGCCCTCACTCCCAGATGGAAGGTGTGACTGCTCCTGGGAACTTGTGACCAGGCTGCTTCTTAGAATAATTAGAGCAGCAACAGGAAGTGGCAGAGCCCAGCGTAAGTGTGAGTGGTCTGTTAGCCCAGTGCAGGCTGGCTGGGAAGGGGAGCATCCCCAACCACCAACTCCGACCCAGTGACTCAGCAAAGCCCCTTCCTTTCTAAGAGAAACTCCTCTGGCTAACAGCAGACTTCACCCAATACAAACGGACCTCCTGTATGGGAACCCTCTTTGTGAAGGTGAACCCCAATAGAGAAATACTCCTCATGTAGCTACAGCCCAACAGAGAAGAGCCCCAGTGCAGACATAATCCCCAGGAGGGAAATCTCTAACACAGAAACATATACCCATGAGAATGCACCCCACATAGAGCGCACACCGCAGTGAAGTTTCGCTCAGTGTAAAACAGTCCTTTTAGCTATAACCTCTAATAGGAAAATACTCCTATTACAGAAACAGCCTAATTGTGGGTATATCCCACTATAGAACACATCTAAATGATTCCACCCCAGTGAGGTCTACATGAAATACATGCCCTTTACTGAGGTGCATTCTTGGTGAAGTTCTCACTGTGAATATCCCTCCTACAGGGAACCTATGAAAAAAAAGACTGATCAGTAATCTCTGACCTACCAGTAGAAGCAGTAAGGCTCAAAACCTCCTTCCAGCTCTGGTGTGGCCCCCAGCCCTGGCCCCGCCCTCACCTTCTTCCAAGGTGGAGTCTACAGGCTGGGAGTCACCTGGGATGCGGCTTTTGCTCCAAGCATCTGAGCCTGGATCAATCAACTCCAGCATCATCTCCAATTCCTTCATTTTATAGGACAAAAGCAGGCTCAGATCTGGGCTGTGATGTGCCCAAGGATGTGATACATTTGGGGTGGGGAGAGTGGGATTAGCCTAGAAGACTTTGTTCTTTGCCTCTCACTCCATACCTGAACCATCTGAGCTTGAAGCCAGAGAGGAAGCAGAATTCCAGCTTCCACCTCCTCCCAGACCAGGGGAGGGGGCAGGGAGTGGGGGTGAAGCTGGAGAGAGGTCCCCACTCAGCAACAGCCAGCCCTTGCTGTCCACCAAATCAGAGGGCTAGAACCCCCATCCTGTCATTACCTCCCCCCCTCACTGCAGCACACCCAGCAAAGCCCACAGAATGACTGAGTCCCGGCCAGGTCCTGACACTCCTCTCTCCCCATAGCTGTGGATCATGCCTGCCTTCGGGGCCCGCCCTCACTTCAGCAACACAGCGGAGGTGGACTTCTACGGCTACTCCCTCTGGGCAGCCATCGTCAACATCTGCCTGCCTTTCGGCATCTTCTACCGCATGCATGCTGTCTCCAGCCTGCTGGAGGTCTACGTGCTGTCCTGAAGCCCCAGCAGAGACACAGGGAACGGGGCTCAGCTCATGTACCCACCCAGGAATGAATCATACAACTACCCATTCTCCGCCGGCCCCAGAGTGGAATTTTCACCAAAATTATTTTTCCAGGATGAGTTTTTAAATCACAATCAGGACATGCACATCCACCCCAGAACGCTCCTGGAGCATGGGGTGACTAGAGGAGGAAGATCTCTCTCCCTGCCTTGTTTCTAGGACCAGGCAAGATCTGGAAGTGTCCTAGACTCTGGCTCTACCCCAACCCCAGGCCTGTGGCCTGACCAGTGCTGCTGCCTAGAGATGGAAACCAATAAACCTGCAGTTCCCTTCTCCCCACCCCCGTCCCCAACTTCTTGTCTCAGCAGCCACATCTGAGGTGATCGATCACATGATGGGATCTGGAGCCAGAGCTGGAAGGGGATCTGGAGCCAGACCTGGGAGGGCCCCTGGAGATTTCTGGGTCACAAGCTTTTCTGTGGGTGCACCAAGTCTGAGTTACAGACCCGTTATCAACTAGTACCTGAGAGGCTGGGAGATGCTGGGCTGAGTACCCAGCCCACCACCTTCCTCTTCCCTTTATCCTCATGTGACATAGACATTTTTTAATGTGTCCCATGACACATGAAAGGTTAGGAAGGACTGACTTAATCCAACTACCATTTTATAAAGAAGAAAACCAAGGCCCAGAGAAGTACAGTGACTTGCCCACAGTCACACAGCAAAAGAGAGCCAGCACATTCTACCAAGAATAATATTTTCAAACTTTTTTCAAGCTTCAGAGCTTTTTCTCCCTTAAATAAAACATTTCAGAATTAGAATATAGTTTCAGAATCAGGCTATTAGAATATAGTTTATAACAGGGCTGCTCTAGCTTCAGGTCTCACCACCCCCCCACCCCTGGCCTCCTCTTACCCTTCACCCCAACCCCCTGGGGTCCCTAAGGCCCCTCTCCAAAGTCCTCCAGCTTCTACTCTACAAAAGTTAGAGAGATGGGGCAACTGTGAAGCTGGGGAGATCCTGGTGGGGCAGGGAATGTGGTTTCTCATGATCTTCGCAGTTCTTTGACCCTCTCTGGAAGCCCCTCAATAAAATGGTCTGATTAAAAAGGTGGGGGGATATAGAGATGGACTTAGCAGAGAGAGAGACTGAGAAAGTCAGACCATGCAGAGAGAGATTGAAAAGGAGGTACCACAGCCAGAAGAGGAGGCAGAACTGGTGGCCAGTGGAGTCAGCTGAAGGGGCACAGGCTGGGGTGGGGGCAGGGATGGGGGAGGGACATGGCACCAGAGCGTGGGAGCAGCAGCACCTGGAGCACAAGGGACTTCAGAGGAAAATGTTCTAGGACCAGCAGAATGAAGTGGGCAGGTCACAAAAGGCTGCAGGCAGAGCTGAGGAGGGGCAGAGGGGGCGACTTCCCACCCTACCCGCCTCCTGCTGGGTCAGAACGGGGTCTCTTTGACCCTAAGTTCACGTTTGACTTAGGGAGAGAACCGGGCCTGACGCTAGGTGGGGTACAGGAAAAGACGACCCCAGATCTGTTGCGGGAGTCCATTCCTTGCTGGACCCCCAGAAGAAAATGTGGTCTGGACCCCACAAGGCCTTTACTGCTGCCTAAGGACATTGTACCCGACCCTACCCCGGTAGGGGGCCTCCTTGTGGGTCGCCTGACCCTGCAACCCAGCTTCTGCACCGCCTCTGGCTCCACCCGCCGGTCCAGCCACCTCGCTATTGGCTGCACCGTCCGGGGAGCCCCCGGCAGGGTAATTAACGAAGGATTAATGAGAGCCCCAAAGTCAACAGAAAAATCAATGGGCCGCGGAGCCCGAGAGGCGGCTGCGCAGTCCCGCGTGGGGGAGGGCCTCGGGGGCATCGGTCCCAGCCCGGGGACCTCACCGGACGGACGATCCGCGCTGCAGTGATCAGCCGGTGGCGATGCCTGCCCAGGCCTCAGGTAAGGCTCCCCGCGGCGCTGTTAGGGCCCGGAGCGCCCTCGGACAGCTGGAGGAACATTCCAGACCAGCCCACCCTTGACACTCAAAACTACTCTGCTCCCAAAGCGAGCTTCAGAGACTTGGGGCTGCAGGGATTGGGGCAGGAGGGTGGGATGACTGAAGGCCTACCCCTGGTGACTCAAACTCCGGCCCCTTTCTGCCCCCCACTCCAATACCAGCTCCGCGCCCCATCTCCTTCCACGGGTGGGGGGCGCACAGAGGTCGGCAGGGCACGCCCAGCCTTAGCGGGGTCTGAGCGCCCACAGTCGAAACGGGTTGTCCAAGCCAGGAAGAAGCAAAAAGCCCAGACGGCTGGAAAAAGGGGTGTGGGTTTAGGGCTGCCTAGACAAGCGGTCAGAGGCATATGTGTGGCTGCGAGGCTGTCCCAGGCCTCGCAGTCCCTCGAGGGACTCGGAAAGAAATCACGAAACTCCCTGGCCGGTGCTCAGCAGCCTCCTCCGGAGCTGGCCGGGCGCCGCGCCCCGACAGCTCCCCGGCTGTCATCACCTGCCTCTAACCGCCCGACCCACAAACCAGTTTGGTGTCTGGGCCCTCCCTGGGACTGGCGTCGCGCCGAGAGGCGTGCCAGAGGGTGGAGGATTCCTCCTCGCCGGTCCCGGCTCCCTCACCCTCTTCCCAGGACCCCTGCGCCCCGGGACTCCAGCACCCTCCCTGGCGGAGGACCAAATCTGCCACTTTGAGGACTCCCTCTAGCGGCCGATGGAGGGTTGGACCCCGGGGGTCGGGGGCAGGGAACACACTCAAGGCCAAGACCCTGGAGGATAAGCTCTAGTCCTCCAGCATCCTCTCCAGGCTTGCAGTCCTGTCCAAAGCTACCTCTGAAACTCACCAACATTCCCGACCCTTCCGGCCTCTCCAGGACCTGGACACAACAGGAAGGAGATGCACAGGTAGCTAACACAGCAGTCTCTGTGCCAGGCCTGGCTCTACATGCATTTACATGTGTTAAATAATTTAATTTTGAAAAATTCCCATCAGGTAGGTATTATGCATTAATTCCTTCATTTGTTCTTTCAATAAATCTTTACTGAACATCTACTGTGTACCAGGTACTATTCCATAGTTGTATATGTTTACAGATGAGGAAACTGAGGCTCAGAGAGTCTGAGTAGCTTGTCCAAGATCACACAGGTAGTTAAGTGCCAGAATCTGGGCTCTTAATCACTAGGCTCTCCTCCTGCCTTGGGAGGATGGGGTAGATTCTGGGAAGGTGAGATGGGGCAGGCAGGTTTAGGGGAAAAGGAACAGGGAGGTGTCCCCGTGAGCTTCAGGCTTGCTCAACCTGGGCAGGGGAGCCTGGGAAGAAAGATAAAGATCATCTGGAACGTCTCCACTGGGCCAGGATGCAAAGGATTTAATGGGGAGGGAATCTGTCCATGGCTCCGGCGCTGAAAGTTCCCCAGAAAATGACAGAATCAGTCGGCCAGCTTTGGTTTAGTGTCACGCCTGTGCCGGATTTGGGGCGTCTGAGATAAGCAGGATCTGGTCTCTGCCCTGAAGGGGCTCCTGGCCTTGAGAGGAGCCAGTCACGCCCACGGCACCTCACCAGACGTGCACAACTACCCTCAGTAGATGCTTGGGCAGGGGGAGAAGGCTTCCCAGGAGAGGTGCTTAAGGCTGGTGGTAAGGATGGGCAAGAGCCATTGGTGGAGGGTGGCAGGAGAGGCAGATGGAACAGCAGGCTCCAGGAGTGATGGTGGGAGATGTGAGACAACATGAGAAATGGGAGGGTGCTGGGGTCAGGCACTGAGGCAGGAAGACGAGGGTCAGAGAAGGTGGTCCTCAAACCCGTCGAAATAATCCCTGTGTTTATGTGGAGCACAGAGGGCGTCCACATCCCCTGGTCTGCTTGAGCCTTCTCAGGTCCGCTAAGGTAGATGCACGGTAACTGCTGTTATTTCCAGTGGCCCGACCAGAGAGTTTGCTTAGCTTCCCCTAGGTCACACAGCAGTTAGAGGCAGGAGTGGAATTGAGCCCAGGACAGCCCAGCAGCCAACCAGAACCCTTTCTCCCTCCCCAGCCCCTACTGAGGCTGCACCGGCTGCCCCTCCAGAAGCACAGGAGACTGAAGAGACCCTGGCCAAGGAGAACCAAGTGGACATGGGGACAGAGGAGACAAGGGCCTCCACCTCGCCCCACAAGAAGTCCTGGTTGGTGCGACATTTCTCGCTGCTGCTGCGGCGGGACCGGCAGGCCCAGAAGGCCGGGCAGCTCTTCTCCGGGCTCCTGGCCCTCAACGTGGTGTTCCTGGGCGGAGCCTTCATCTGCAGCATGATATTCAACAACGTGGCTGTCACGCTGGGCGATGTGTGGATCCTGCTGGCTGCGCTCAAGGCCCTGTCCCTCCTCTGGCTCCTCTACTACACGGCCGGTACCACCCGCCAGCCACACGCCGTGCTCTACCAGGACCCTCATGCAGGACCCATCTGGGTGCGGGGTGAGTGTGGGGGCACTGGGTGGATGAGAGGAGCGGGGAGGGAGAGCGCCTTCCAGGGGAGGTGCCAATGGCCGCCTGGCCTGGCCAGGCTCCCTGGTGCTTTTCGGCAGCTGCACCATCTGCCTCAACGTCTTCCGCGTGGGCTACGACGTGAGCCACGTCCACTGCAAGTCGCAGCTGGAGCTCATCTTCCCTGTCATCGAGATCGTCTTCATCGGCGTCCAGGTGACAGGCCTCTCCCATCCCCATGCTCCGTGCAAACACACCCCAACCTACGCCTAGGAACAGCCACATCAGCAAACACCTATCTGACCCAGGGTATGCACCCACATACCACAGCCCCCCCCGACACGTGCCTACCTCCATGTACCCACATCCACTCTGCCTCCATGTCTCTGCATCAGCACACACACCGTCACCAAAACACAAACACCTATAGATAGGTATGCCTGTACATCCTTGCATGCCCCTAAATCTATGCCCCCAGATACACAGAGCTACTCTTTTTCAAAAATGTCTTTAGAATCCCAAGTTTTCTTTTCTTTTTCTTTTTAATTTATTTAATTATTTATTACTATCTTTTTAATGGAAGTACTGGGGATTGAACCCAGGCCCTCGTGCATGCTAAGCATGTGCTCTACCACTGAGCTCTACCCACACCCCAGAGCTACTCTTAATAGTGAATACCCGACTCCCTCCTGAGTTCCTGATATGCAAACACTGTGCTAGGCGGTCCATTTACATCATCTTGTTTATTTCCCCAATAAGAAGTCATGCCTCTGAGAGGCAGACATTTTTGTCCCATTTTAGAGCCAAAGAGACTGAGGCTCAGAGATGTTTTGCCACTGGCTCAAGACCACACAGCAAGGGAACAGCGGGGCCAGGATTCCAACCCAGGCTTCCTCACTGTCTCTTCCATTGCAAATACACACAAGTAACTGGGACACACACTGCACGGTCCCACCCCCACCCAGTCCCTGGGCTCAAAGCCCTTTCTCTTTCAGACCTGGGTGCTCTGGAAACACTGTAAGGACTGTGTTCAGATCCAGACCAACTTCACTAGGTAAGACGTGGGTTCCTTCTCTCCTTCCAACAAGTCTTGTGGCCAGTGCCCCAGTAGCTTCCCTGGACAGGGTAGCCCTAGGGGTATGGGTTAATCTGGGAATGGGTCCCAGGTGACCCCCCAGGGCTGCCTGTCTTGAAGTTCTAATGGCAGACGGGATCTGGCTTTGGGAGAGAGTGGTCACCTCAAAGGGATTGATGGTGAAGTTCGGGCACCCAGGGAGCCGGCCAGGCTGTGTGAGCAGCGTGTAGCACCTCCTCCAGGTGTGGCCTGATGCTGACCCTGGCCACGAATCTGCTGCTCTGGCTTCTGGCTGTCACCAACGACTCCATGCACAATGAGATCGAGGCTGAGCTCAGCGCCCTCATGGAAAAGCTCTCAGGTACAGAGGAGACCATGACTACCCCATCCCACCTCCACTCCAGATGGGTGCACACACATGCTACCCTGCCTCAAACGGGTGAGGTTCACTGACTCTGTAGGTTGGGGAGAAAAACTCTAGAGCCAGATCATGACTCAGCAGAATCAGACATTTGCCAAGGGTACCCTTCCTGCCCCCACCTTGGGCCTGCTCCATCAGGTCCTGGCGCTGCGCAGCTCCGCTCCAGGCATCCATCTAGCTATCAGTAAGCTAGCTACTAATCCAGGCTGAGCTGCTCACTGGTAAGTCCAGGTAGGCCCTCCACCCCCGGTATTTGCCTTTTACTTGTAAGAAACTAGAAAATCTTCAAGACTGAAAGGAATGTCTTCCTAATACAGTTGTAGGCACCTGGACATATCAAGAGAGACAGAAGATTTCTGGGCAAAATGAACTCCCCAGATTGTTCCATGTACCCAGTGCCCTACCTGTACAGTCAGCTCTTGGAGGTCATGTCCTGTCAACCTACATGGGAACGTTGCTGTCTGTGGGATTCAGCCACACCTGTGTATATACAGTAATTCCCCCATCCAAGTGGCATCACCATCCTGACCCGTGTACAGCCAAGCCTTCCCAGCACACTCATGTATCCACACGCCCACTGCACAAATAAATCGTGGCATGCCTGCCTACTGTGGGCATTCTTTATACTCCAGACACCTTTTTCAGAAGAGCTGTGCAGAGAGGATTTGGGGCAAGTGACATAATGGATTTTTTTTATTATTAAAAAATTCAGACATACAGATGAGAACAGGACATACCCATCACGTAGGCATACTAATTATTAACATTTTGCCATATTTGTTCCAATATTTTTGCTGAATTACATTATGGAAATCATGGCATTTCTTCTCAAAATATTTTAGCACACAGGTTTTTAATATATTTCCCTATGTTAGCACAATGCTATTATAATTTCTAACAAAATTCCTTAATGTCATCCCCAGCCTTTATATCACTCTGTATTCTATTTTTTCCAATCAGCCCATGAAATGTCTTTGACAGATGGTTTGTTCAAACATGCAGTACATTGAGATTCGGCACGTTGCCTCCTCGTGGTGCCATTTGACTTGTTCCCCTCTTCCCTGCTTTTCCTAGAAATGTGAAGTATGGACCAAAGTTGTTGATTAGATTCAGGTTAAGCATTTTGAGCACCAGCATCCCACAGGGGATGCTATGTGCTTTGCAGGACACCTCATCACAAGATCAGATGTCTGATTACCCTACAGGGGATGCTGTTTATGGTCCAGTTATAGCAGACAGAGCCTCCCATTGTAAAGTTACAGGTTTTCCCTCATGCTCAGCAAGTACTCTGTAGAGGTGACATTTGGCACCAAAGACATCACGTGCCTAAGCTTGGCACGTGAATTCTAGAATCCCTTTGTCAAGGAATGACCATCTTGTGGGGAGGGTATAGCTCAGTGGTATAGAGAGTGCTTAGCATGCACAGGGTCCTGGGTTCAATCCCCAGTACCTCCACTGAAGTAAATAAATAAATAAAATTAATCAAAAAACCACATAAATAAACCTAATCACTTCCCCCCACAAAAACAAAAACAAAACAAACAAAAAGAAATGACCATCCTTCGATTTCTGATTTCTATATATGGGCCTCACTTTCCATTATCTGTAAAATGGGTGACCGAATCCCTTCCACCTCTGCCATACTCCAAGAGGTGAATGGGATTGTTCTGTGCAGCCGGGTTCCTCAGAGCGAGGCCCACCTGAATGTCTGTCCCCTCCCAGGCAACGACACCAACAGCTGTCTGTGCCTCAATGTCACCATGTGCGAGGTCTTCCGGAAGGGCTACCTGATGCTCTACCCCTTCAGCACCGAGTACTGCCTCATCTGCTGCACCGTGCTCTTTGTCATGTGGAAGAACGTGGGCCGCCGCCTGGCACCCCACGCGGGCGCCCACCCCGGCACCCTGCCCTTCCACCTGCACGGGGCCATCTTTGGGCCGCTGCTGGGCCTGCTGGTGCTGGTGGCAGGCGTGTGCGTCTTCGTGCTCTTCCAGATCCAAGCAAGCGGCCCCGCCATCGCCCGCCAGTACTTCACCATCTACTACGCCTTCTACGCAGCCGCGCTCCCCGCCATGAGCCTGGCGTGCCTGGCGGGCACGGCCATCCATGGGCTGGAGGAGCGAGAGCTGGACACGTTCAAGAACCCCACCCGCAGCCTGGATGTGGTGCTGCTGATGGGCACGGCGCTGGGCCAGATGGGCATCTCCTACTTCTCCATCGTGGCCATCGTGGCCACTCACCCCCACGAGCTGCTCAACCGCCTCATCCTGGCCTACTCGCTGCTGCTCATCCTGCAGCACATGGCCCAGAACCTCTTCATCATCGAGGGCCTACACCGGCGCCCACTCTGGGAGGCGACCCCTGAGGGCCGGGCGGGGAAGTGGGAAGCCGAGCCGCCTCGCAGGGGCTCCCTGCTGGAGCTGGGCCAGGACCTGCGGCGGGCCTCGCTGGCCTACATCCACTCCTACAGCCACTTCAACTGGAAACGGCGGGCCCTCAAGGAGATCTCCCTCTTCCTCATCCTCTGCAATATCACAGTGAGTAGTGGGGCCAGAGGTCATGGGAGTGGAGCTGGTGAGGCTGCCCCAGAAAGCCTCACTCAGGAAGGCATGGATCAAGGTGCATTCATTGCACATTGACTATTCCAAGGGTAATTGGCTTGTCCCTTTGATTGTCCAGGACACGGACCTCTTTCCAACTAGCTTGATGCTACTTGAGAGTAGAGAGTGTCCCCTCATCTCTCTGCAAAAATGAATGAATGTGTGGAGCGTGGAGCTAAGTGCTTTTTACAAACATACACGTAGGATTTCTACCCTTGGGAAGCTTACTGCCTAGCTGGGGAGGCCCAGGGAGACCAGTTAGAGAATTACTAAGTAACTAATCGTCTACTGACTTCAGTCAAAGGAAGAGACCAGAAAGTGCCTGTTTTTCTCAAGAATCTCTAGGGGAAGGTCTTGGGAATGACTGCTCGTGTCTGGCGCTGCTAAGTCCCAGGCCCATCTCTTCATGCAATAGCTCTGCCTCTCACTGAATTGTCACCCTGACCTCGTGCAGCGGGCACTGTTACTGTCCTTATTTAACAGATGAGGAAACTGAAGCTTTGGCTGTTTGATCCGCCCATGGTCCCACAGCCAGCAAGTGGCAGTCCCGGGACAGCGCCCGGTTGTTTGAGCCCACGTTGGTAATGACTATGCTGGAAACACCAATGGTGGAACATCTGGCCTGGGCAGAGCACAAGTAATAAATTGGCCCTTAAGAGCAGTCGAGCTCAGAGAAGGAAGTGTGGGCCCAAGCGGCCAAGCAAGGCTTCTTGAAGGTTTGATCTGGGCCTTGAGAAACGGGGAGAATTTGGACAGAAGGCAGGGCTGGGCTGGAGCAGGCCAAGAGTCATGACAAGCAGAAGGTGACTGAGATCAGGGCAGAAGGGATCCCAGCTTGATGGAGCAGGTTGTACCGTGGTGGTGGCAGCCTGGGGTCTCATGATCCAACTGGATCACCAAGGAGGTGGCCGAGGCCTTCTATGGGATGGGGTGAGGGGGGCTGTAGGAGAGGGGCTAGCTCTGAAGGCCTAAGCGTGAGGGGATGCTGGGCGGGGAATGTGCTGGAGGAGCTGTGGGGTCTGGGGTCTGCCTGCCCTAGGCTGAGTGCCTTGGGGGATAGGAGAGCCCCCTCCCCCACTCAACACCCTCCTCTCCTTCCCAGCTGTGGATGATGCCTGCTTTTGGCATCCACCCGGAGTTTGAGAATGGGCTGGAAAAGAATTTCTATGGCTACCGGACGTGGTTCACCATCGTCAACTTTGGCCTGCCTCTGGGGGTCTTCTACCGCATGCACTCAGTCGGGGGGCTGGTGGAGGTCTACCTGGGGGCCTGAGGGTGCCCAGGAACCCACCCCCGGCAGAACCCCAAAGTGCCAAGGCTGGGGAGAATGTATCCCAGTCTCTGAGTAGATGCCCTATTCCAGGGGGACCTAGACCAGCCTGGGTTCCCCAAAGCCTCCTCTTCCCCAGAACCTCACTGAGCAGGGGTCACTATCTGCAGCCCAAGACCAAGGGCAGGGCCTGGACACCGAGCTCCTGACGCCCATGCACAGGACTGAGCACATGCCTGCCTCCTGCTCACCACAGCCAGTGTGGCCCAGGCTGCACCCCAGGAAGCCCCCACAGCTACTCTCTGGGATGGTCAGACCTGGGGAGTTGGGGGAGGGGCATCCCTACACCTCCAGGCCTCGGGGGGTCTGCCTCTTGCATGGTCCAAGCTCAGCCCAGGACATCTGGAAGCTCGCAGCTCGACAGGCAGCACTGCCCCTCTGTCCCCACACACCCTGCCTCCTAATGAGCTCGTTAATTAGCTGCCAGGCCGGGTTCAACAGCTCTCTCCTGCTGCCATAAACCCTGTTTGTTTGATCGATCACATTCTGGCTTCGTGGCATTTGTTCCCGGGGACATAGCTGCCATTCCGCATATGGTAGGAAGGGACAGTCCTCCTGGGCAGGGTTGTGGGGCTGGGACAGTCCTGTTCCTGGGCCAGGAGGGGTCTAAACCCTTTGTCTGATCCTTCCCTAGTCTGATCCATGGGAGAAGGTGGGAGGAGAGGGGCCGGGGCGCATGCATCCCCCCGCCCCTCATCAGCACACCTTTTCCCCAGCACGGAGCCCCAGATGACTTGCTGTAGCTGCTCACCACAGGGGCTGCGGCCTCTGACTGCCCAGTCCCCCCACCTGCCAGATCCACTGAGCCATCGGGTGGAGCGGGCGGGCACTGACAGACCATCCATCTCCCTGAGCCCAGTGCAAACAGTGGGCTGTGCCCAGGGTGTGGCCCGGGGAAGACAGCCCCAGCCCTGCAGGCCAGGCTTGCGGCCCATGAAGCTCAGTGCTGGCATTCCCAGGGCTACAGTCTCAGAGACCCCCAGTGCTGAAGCCCCTGAAGGCCATGCAGGAGGCTGGAAGGCTGGCCCCTCACCTCTCCTCCGTGGGCTCTTTCTCTGGGTGGCCACAGCCCACAGAGTCCAACCCTCCTCTTCCCCACCCAAGAAAATGACAAATGCTCGTTCCCAGCCACGTGCTGAAGGCCGTCTCGGGTGAGACACTGGAAAGCAGAGTCCCCAGCTTCCCTGAAAACAGAGCTACAGCCTGACCCCCTCCCCTCTGAGCACGAAGAGGCAGGGCATAGAGAGGGGGTTTTATTGTGTAAAGAGGCCGATTGTACAGAGCAATGATTGTACTGACACGGGCGGGGTGAAGGAGATCTGGAGGCCGGAATCAGGAGGACAGAGGGGTGGCATCCTGGTCCCCCTGCCCCCTAGTCATCAGGCAGTGGGTGGAGCAGGGAGAACTGAACAGCCTCCCCTACCCCCATTCCCTCACACCCATTACTATGTAAGAGCAAGCCAGGCTATACCTGGTGACCCGAAAGAATATAGCAGGAGACCCTCAGCATGCCACTCCACACCCCTAAAATGAAGGGGTCCCCTAGTCCGACTTTTGTAGTCCGTCAGCCCCCAGCCTCCTCCAGGAGCAGCCTAGCCACCTTCCTTCCTCCCACGGCCCTGGATGCAAGCTGGGCCTGGACCAGGTGGTTTCAGGTTAGGAGGCACAGAAAGGCTCCCTTCATCCTGCCCAAGTGCCTCAAGGGACAGCCCAAGTCTTCCTCTTGGGCCACCCATTAGGGCACAGTGACCTGGTGGCCTCCAGGGGTGCGCAGCTCAGGAGCCGAGCGGGCACTGAGGGTCAGCACAGAAACGGCTCTTGAAGGGGAGCCAGAGTGAGGTGGGGGCTCTGGCCAGGGCCTGCAGCCCCAGAGACAGAAGTTTCCTCCGAGTCCAGCATGGAGGTGAGGGGCAGGGCTGGTCCTCACCACCCCAGCCACGAGGGGCCTCTGGGGCCTGCCACCCAGGACTCGACCACTCACACCCCCAGCCCTGATCATAGTCATTTAAAGCTGAGAACAGGGAGTCGGGGAAAACATAGGGGGAACACTGGGGGACCAGGGTCCCCGCCCTCCCCAGTCCCTGCCCCTTGTAGGTTTCCATCTTCACACCCGCTGGATCTCGAATAGCTTCACATCCGTGTCGTACCAGACAGGTGGGTCCACATTCCTGCAGAGGGAGGGGCCTGTCACTCAGGTGCTGGGAGGCTTGCAGGGGAGACTGGGGAGGCGCCAGGCTGTGGTCCTTCCACTCTGATGTCCCACCCTGGGCAGTGGGCACCCACCCTCAACCAGACAAGACCGCCCTGTTTGACTGTCTTGACATTAACCCCGCTAGCAGAGTAGGGCACAGCCCGGCTGGACAGACCCTTGGGGGACACCAGCCCCACCCAGGCTGGAAACTGCCCCACCCTGAGGGGCCCACCTCAGATAGATGACGCCCCACATGTAGGTGCGGAACCACATGGCCGTTCCCGAGTTGGCCTGGTACTTGCGGATGAGGATGGGGTGGGGCACGGGCAACAGCCCCACCAGGGTGCCGTGCTGCAGGAACCGCAGGATCTCGGACTCATCCGTCAGGCCCCTGCCAGGGAGAAGGGGGTCCTGAAGGTCAAGGGGAGCATGGGGCTCACCCTGGACCTCCAAGGCCCATGCTCCTGGCTATATGCCCCCCATCCTGGGCCCACCTGCCCACCCCACCCCATCCTCACTTGTCAATGCAGATCTTCTCCACCTGGGGAACCAGCACCTGGAGCAGCCTCATGATGGTTTGCAGCGGCAGCTTTGACTTCCAGGAGAGGACCTGGGGGAGGGACCAGGGTTCCTGGGTGGGCAAAGCAGCCCCCAGAGGCTATGGCATGGGCCTGATCCCTGACCTGGAACCATGGGCTCCCCAAGAAGCATCCCGGCTCACAGCAGAAAGGGCCTAGCCCCAGGCAGTGCCCATGAACAGTGACTGCTATTTCTGGCAAGAGCTGTGGCCTCTCGCTGAGCACGTACTATGTGCCAGGAAGTGTCCCCTTTGACCCTCACAATGGTGTGATGAGGCAGACATCTATCACCCCCATGCAAATGCAATTAATTACTGGTAACCTCAGGAAACACATAAGGGAGTGGACAAGTGATTTGGGGAAGGACACTGGCAAGGGTGATTTGTTAAGAAAGTAAGTGCTGTGGACAACTGAAGCTTAACCCTGCTGGGGAACAAACTTGGGGACAGTGTAGACAGAGGAAGCAATGAAGCCAAAGACGACGAGGTCACGAGACAGAAGGACTGACCCTGAACCTGGCCCCCAGGCCAGTGCTTGGATTCGAATCCATTTCCATCCAAGTCTTTACTGAGCTGTTCCCAGGGCCCGTAGCCCCTGCCCCACCCCCAGCCCCACCCTCAGCCCCACCCTGGTGCTGTCTGCCCCACCCTCACCCACTCCGATGTCGGGTTCCACTGCCCACTGGCTGATGCGTTGGACAGTCGCCGCTGCTCCCGCCACACCTGGCTGGGCTCCTGGTCCCCGAGAAGGAATGAGAGTGAGGGGCGGAGGGAGTGGGTACAGGATGGGGGTAGGGGGCAGAAGCAGCTCCTCCCACAGTCTCGAACTGGAGGTGAATGAGGGCTCTGCACTGGTCCGCGTTAGGGGGAGGGGGACGCCCTCCCAAAGGAGGGATGGCCCAGCCCAGCACCCTTTGCCCTGGGCCCCAGGCCCTGCCCGTCCCAGCCCAGCTCAGTGACAGGTTTAGGACCAGGGGCTGACAGGGCCGCCGGGTAAAGGCCAGCCCGGCCTCAGATAAGGCTGATGGATGAGGCGTGTGAAGGCCAAGGGCTTGAGCCCGTGACTAATAAACAAGGGAGGGGTCTGTGACAGCACCCCCCGCCAAGAGAGTCAGCAGTGCCAACGCTGATGCCCTGGGCGCTGCGTGCCTGCCCCTCCGCTGCAGGTGACCCCAGAGTGCCCTGGCCTGTCCCACACCTCGGAGGCCAGGGAGAAAGGAACGCCCAGCCTCGCCCACTCCAGGAGTCCCTGTCGCCCACCTCCGCGGCTGGGCTGCCCTCTGCTGAGTTCTGCTGGGGCGCAGACTCCAGGGACCGCAAGGTGCCATCCTCTGATACCTGGGACTTCTCCGTCAGCTTGTCAATGCCTGGGGGTGGGCAGGTGGGGCTGAGGACACCTGCCCCAGCGCCCCGCCTAGAAAGCCTCAGCCCTGGGCCTGGCCCCTCCAGTCTCCAGCTTCTACTCGCTTTAGAGATGCTGTGCCTGACTCCCCACACCCAGCTACCCATCCTGGGCCCCCCAATACCTTCGCCCCACACTTGTTGCTGGTATCCACACCCCCCACCACCACCCGCCGGCACCAGACCTGGGGTGGCCACCAGGCTGGTCTTGAGGGTGCCTGGCTCGGCGGGGGCAGCCGGGCGGGAGCCCTCCATGGAGGCGCCCTCCTGGGAGCCAGTGCGGGACAAGGGCTCAGGCGCCCGTCGGCGCCGCTGCAGCGCCTTGTGGATTGCCGGCAGGTCGGTGGGCAGGTTGGCCAGCTGGTGGAAGACGCTGCGCTTTCGGATGATGGCGTAGACCAGGTTGGAGTTGCCTGCGGGGAGGGAGTGTGCCTTGTTTCAGGGAGGCCCCTCACAGCTGCCCTCCACCTGGGCGGGCTTCCTGGGAGGGGGAGCCTGGAGGACAGGAGGAGGTGACAGCACACGGCACAGAAGAGAAGGAGCCCAGGGGCAGAGCTGGCACCGGAAGGTATGTGCGGGCTGAGGCTACACCAAGATGCTACCTTTTGGGAAAAAAGCTAGGCTGAGCTCGGCCCCTCCCTGGTACCTTCTGGACTTCCTTCTCACAACCCAGCGCTAAAGGGTAACACCTGGCAAAGTGGGGTGGGCCCAGCATGTCAGCGTCCCACCAAGGCAGCCGTGTGACAGGCCCCCGAGCCAGGTCACCGGGAGGAAGGACAACATGCTGTGTGCCTGTGCTCCATGGCCCATGCTGAATGCCCTTGGCTCCGGGGCAGGGGTCGGGGGGTGGGATACAGATGACTTCCCTACCTTCAATGCCCCACCCACCACACTGGTCCCTGCCTCTCACAACCCTGTTCTGTTTCCACTTCAACATCTCACCCCAGGGCCTGTGCATGTATTTGCCACCCTCCACGTTTTTCTACCCCACTCCAACCCTCATGCGTCCCTCCTGGATCAGCGCAAGCACCGCTCATTCTAGAAGTAGTAACAGTAACTGCTGACATTTAAGTCACCAGGCACCGTGCTAAGTGCTTTTGGGGGATAACTGTTTCGAGTCTCCCTCCGTGCCTCCCTCCCCAGCTATAGCTCCATGGGGCAGGGAGCACTCTGCTTTGCTCCCCATTGTATGCTCTGCACCTGGCACAAGGCTAGGTACACAGCAGGTGCTCGATAAATGCACATTGGATAAATGAACCAGTGGGTGGAGGGCTATGTCTTCATTCAATGGGAAGGTGTCCTTGCCCACTGCCCA